CATGGAGTCTCAGAAGTGACACCTTGCAGTGGTGTCTTTGTGTGTTCACTTGGGTTTCATTGTAAGTAAATGGGTGTGTGTGTGTTGTAGTTCGACGTTTTGTGGGTCAGAGAGTCGTGTGTGTCATGGAGTGTGGGTGTGTGTCATTTTGTGGGTGCAAAGTGGCTTCGTGTGTTTGCGTGTATGTCGGCTGGGTTCTGCTGGCTGTTCAAGTGTGGAAGTATGCGGGTGGTGAAAGGTGTGTGGATTTGGAGAGACAAAAAGAGGGCAAGAAATCAACCCCAAAAAGGTAGGGAAGCCGAAGTGACCTCCACAGTAATATCTTTGATTTGACTTCACAAAGTAGTTCCCTTTCTGGCACCTCTGTTCTATCTTTTTTCTACCTTTTTTTACCTTTGCCTCTTTTTTTTGATTTACCTTTTTTTTGCCTTTTTCCCCACTTTTGTTTTTAAAATTATCAAAATTCCACCTGTCTGGATGACTGAAGATTATAACCCTGGGGTCCACACCTACACTCGTGCGGGCAGTGGCAGTAAAGCCCGGCACCAACCCTTGGCCCGTCTCGTTGCTCCACTGTGTCGGCCCCAAAAAGCCTTCTGGTCCCGACCTCAGTGGGGTGTCTGAGGGAGGGCAGAGTTTCTGGCAAGGGAGCTGCGGTGTTGGTGAGCCTTCACGGGCAGAAGGTGAGCATGGTGCCTGGCATCTTTAGCTGCACTGCCCGGTGTCACACAGTTGCAGGTGCTGCGGTGCGTCCACCCCACTATGGGATGCGCTGTTCTCCCCCGTGAGCGCAGACATGCGGCTCTTGCAGTCCCTATAGAGGACGGTCCATTGAAACCGTGCGGCAACCGTGGCTGCCGGGCTTCCTCCTGGACCTTACTTTGGTGCTGACTTCCCGCCCCAACCGCCACTTTGTAACAGAGCTTCTCGCAAAGAAAGCGTGTGGCCTCAATGCGATTTCTGAGCTGGCTCTCAACGGATATAACGCTCACCTTTGTCAAGTCCCAGGTTGGCTTTGTGTCCCAGTACTCCAAAGTGGTGCTTCAAATCAAGGAACACCTGCGCTCTAGTCAAACCGTAGCTGAGCTGGAGGGCCTGGTATAATCCCATGGAGGCCTGCCAAGCCTTGCGAATTTCCCCCTTACGGGGAATCCGCAATCATGGGACATGATGGAGTTCAAAAGATTCTTGGTGGCCAACTTGGGTGCCCTCCGTTTGGCGTTAGCGTCTTTGTCACATGCAAAGCGTCGGGCTTTCTATACCACAGTGAGGCGGGGTTTGCTAGGGCAACGTCTTCACTCACCAGAGAATTGGGGCCACTAGTCATTCTGGCTCCTGCTTATGGAGACGGATTGGGGGCTTGCTTTCAGATGGCTGCCTGTGCCACACAAGGGTACATCGACGGGCAGGAGTATGTGAGAACTAAAGCCAGCCTGTGGAGCATCGACAGCCCAGGGCCCCAGGGTTGCCAAAGTTCCGCATAAACAGGCTTTTCGAGAACGAAAGGTTGTGTGCCGACATAGTCCTCCCGAAGAGGAAAGTGGGAGTCTCGCTTTTCGATAAGCCGCCCCTTAACGATTAAGGCCACACAGCACCAGGGGAGGGAGGTTCTGTTTCGGGACTTGTGGCATGTGAGCCAAGGCAATGAGCCTTTTTTCCGATCTGACAATATGCGCGGGACGATATCACAACTGCAAGCAAGGGGTATCAGGCTGGAGCCACTGCCACACGCCGTCTACTGCGTGCCATTCCAGTCGGCAAAGGAAGGCGATGGCGCAGCGCAATACCTTGCGCATCTCCTTGGAGGACGCGAAGCTCTTGTCCCCTCCTGCCAAGGGCAAGGAAGTCTTCACGGACACCCCTTTTGAGCATAAAGCTGCCATCCAAACCGTGCCGCAAGGCCTCTATCTGCAACCTGTCCGAACCGGGAAAAGATAGCAGAAACAGCCATTGATGACGAGCCCGCGGATGTTGTCCGGGGCCCCGAGGTGGGGAAGCTGATGGCAGGGGTCGCGGCGCGCTCTTCTGTGGTGAGCTGTCTACAACGCGCGCCAGGGGTAAACACTGCCGCGAGCGCCAGCAATGGCACCATAACATCGTTAGGTCCACAAATACCTGCTGGAGTCAGGCCTGCAGTCCTTGCTAGAAGGGTGGAACGTGAAACAGCGAAAAGCTCGCCCATAGAGAAGCGTCCAGGAGCCCATGTAGGACGCCCCGCCGAAGGCAAAGCCAAGAAGTGCTACACCTGGGTAGGGAGTCCAGCCACCGGAGAGGCCTAAGGCTCCACCTCTTAATTCGCCTGAGGAGGGAGGAGATCAAACATACAGCTCCGCCTGCGCCTTGCTATGGCGTGCGCTTGACGCGGGGCTACCTGCTGGACAAACACTCAAACCCAGGCCTTACATGGCGTTAAAAGACTCCTCCCATTTAACCACTCACGAGCAACAGCTGCAAGCTTATCGTGCGTATGAAACATTGCTGCAGGAATTGCCTGGACCGCTCGCTGATCCGGAACACCTCCTGCAGGTAGCAAGTCAGCTGCTTTACCTCCCCAACACATTCCCTGCTTCTTACCTGCAAATCTACGACCCAATCCTGCCCATGTGCTTGAAGATTGCGAGGACGCTAGAGTTCTTGGACCTGCCCAAACTCTTGGGCAGCGAGGCGCCGCAAATTTCGCTGGATTGCCTGCAGGAGTCCATAATTGGTTATGGCTTCCTGACAACTGCACAGTACATCGCAGATCTTTTCTTCGCTGTCGGAGATATCCAAGGAGTCCAAACAGCCAAGTTCCGGCCATGGCGTGTTACGGAGATCCGGACTATTGGCTTGGAGGGTTGCTCCTTGCCTTCAATGCGCATCAACACGCTCCTCCCACGAGAGCTGGATGCTTGCCGGTAGTTCTTGGCTCCCCGGATAGTGACAAGATGCCCAGGATAGACAAGGCAAAATCACGGACCTTCAAGTGAATGTGCCACCAGCTGCCGCGGTGGCACTGTTAGCAGGCAGAGCATATCTGCGCCCCACACGCCCGGAGACAGTTTTCAAGCGCAATGCGCAAGGGTTGCCCGAGGTGCAAGGCCAAGTACCTTCCTCCCGACTGCACCACTGGGCGAAAATGGCGCAGTTCAATAATTTGGAATCTGCCAGATTAGCCCAGCGCCCGAAAATCAACGCCTTTGTTAGGATGAAACGCGCGTCAAGCTCTCGGGCACAGACAGTATCAACAGCTCAACCCTGCGGACCAACCGCTCAACTTCCTGGATGCGGTGCGGCGTGCACTCGCGGCCGCTGTCGCAAACCATGATATTGAGCATTTCTGGGCGGCTTTTAACTTGGAATGGCCGGATGCCAATGTTTCTTTTCGCCAAATCCCGCCGCTGGATTGCTTGTTGACCAAATCCACTGCAGAGTCCTCTGCAGTAGGAGAGGGGGTGCGGCCTATGGATATGCGCAGCTGTTCCTCGGAAGAAGATACCAATGAGACGAGACTGAGGTGCAGGTTCGTGACTGGCGCTTCTCGGAGCTTCATAGCTTCGGTGCGGGAAGTGCACCTGTGCGTCCCGTTCAGAATACCGTCCGTCCGTAGCCCTCATTGGAGGAACTATATGTTGCTGGAGCTTACGGAGATAGAGGACACCTCCCCGCAAGGGGAGGTGCCGTCCGGCACCTCGCCCCTAAATGTTTCTGCGTCCTCTGCATGGAGGCACTCTCACTTGGATGCGGCGAATGGCAAGGCACGTGCGTGGCAGTAGACGGGTACCGTTTCCGTTGGCGCATACAACGTGTGCCGGTCGTGGCAATGTTCTCCATATGTGGAGCTTTTCGAGAAATGGATGGTGGTTTTGTTTTCTGGCTATGCGCCCGCATTTTGCGGCCTTCCCTTATGCAGCATGATGCAAGAGTGCAACTACGGGTCTACATCGACTTCATCGTGCTCTGAGAGAGGGGAATGTTTCACCGCTAGGTTGCTTTTGCCGTTGCGTTGTGTTGTCTTGGTTCTTGTTCGTGGTGCCCACTGTGCTGCTGATGTGGTAAAGGGGCGTCCGCTTTAAAACAAAAATAAAAATTTGCCAGTGCCGTCAGGTTCGCAGTCCACATCCTCGGAGTTGCGCCTCGCAGCGAAGTCCTCAGCCGCAGAGTGCTTGGGTTCATAGAGCAAATGGAAATGTGTTCCGGACCGTCGCAGCAAGCGGCGGAGCTGACTCTTCAAGAGATTCTTGTCCTTCATGGGGTCCTAGCCTCTGACGCCAGTGACTTGTGGGATAGAGCTGGAGCGCGTCGCGTCGGGTGTCATCGCACAGTCTTAAGTGCACGTGTTTGAGCTAGACGGGATCCTGAGATCGGACCAGACAACAGAGGCGCTCTTCAAAAGCTTGGCATCCTGCTCTGTGGCCCCAAATGTATGGCCCATGCTGCAGGTGCCTGTGCAGCAGAGGTCTGAAAAGAGGCAAAACCTGTTGAAACTTGTAGTCTTTGGAGTCTTGTATTGTCTGTGGCAACCGAGTTTTAGCATTATTGGGGTGCTGGCTGCATTCTGCATACATTCTTGCCGCTCTCGGTTTCCCTGGTCTGTGCCAATGCCTTTCTGAAGCCATACTGCTCTGTCGCCACATGGGCGGAGGTGCAAGTTATTCCCCCCCATACCTTGTTCGTCGTTTCCAAAGATGAAATTCTAGGCTTCCGTCCCCTTGGACCTCACAAAGCCCCTTCAAATTCCCGAACGCTTAACGCACTAAGACTGCTTGCTCGGGGCACGTGTGGAGTTCATGTGCTCGCCATGCCAGTTGCCAGGCCGCCAGCCAGCACAAAGGGGTTTGGGACACCTTGGGCAGGGCTATTGGTTTGGAGGTGTGGAGTTTCTATGCTTCCCAGTCTGACATGTGACATGTACGTTGACGGCTAGGTAGTTCTCGGTTGATTGACTGCGCGGTTTCGGGCACGGTGGTCATGTGGCATGTGGCATATGGACGTGCAGCTCGAATGGGGTCGACGGCTGCATGGACGGCATCGACACTGTTGGTTCTGAGGTTTTGGCGGTTGACCGTCGGTTCGTCGTACAAAAACCTTGGGACAAATTAGTGACAGGTTTGGGCTTCGGTGGTTCGGGTTTGGATGTTTGTGTTCCATAAGTTGAAGAGGTTAGCGACTTGATCAAACTTTTGTCCGACACTGATGCCTTCGCATGAAGCCTGACATCTTGAGGAGCATCTGAAAGTTGTCAGGTTCACCTGGGAGTTGCGTGTGGACCGGCTTCCAGTGCTTTACACGCACCAGAAGGCGGGCTGCCTTTGGGGTTCAGGGTTCGGGTCGGGTTTAGGTAGCTGGTCGGATTGAAGGGGTGCTTAGAGTTCAGGCATTAGGGTTGAGGCAGATCTCAGGTTTAGAGCTTTGGACATGTAGGTCTTGGGTGTAGTTTGGGTTTCGGCGGAACAAGCAATTGGTTTCGGATGTCTGCGCCCTATCCCGATATCTTGTCGACCTAAACCGTAAGCTGGTGTCCCAGGGAAGAAACCCCCAAAGCCTGCACAATTTTGCATGAACTTGCTTTGGCAGGCTTCGTTCCGATAGGGTTTATATAGGTTTTGGCCCTACCCCCAAGCCTGAACTCGGTTCAAGAGGTTTGCGTTCCATAGGCTGCGGGTGAGGCCTTCGGGGGGCACTTTGTTGGTTTTCCCAGGCCACGCGGCGGCGGGTGCTCCGCGAGGGCTCCCTGCGCCTTGCGGCGGGTCTGGCGGTGCCTCCGCGTGCAAATGGCCCTGGAGGACATACACCCTGAACGCTAAACCATGGACCCTGGACCGACCCCGGGCCTCTTCTACAAGCTTCCCCGGGCCTAGACTGCACCTAGATTCTACAAGCTCTGATTAGTTAATCTCCTTGGTGTATGGGTTGAAGATGCAAGACCTGGAGAGACTCCGGCCCCTGAGAGAGTTTCAGAAAGCACTCGTCAACATTCCGAACATTGTGTTTGCTGTTAATGATGAATTGGAGCAAATCGTTGAGAGTGAGCAGACATTGTTGATATGCGCCTTGCTCAGTCGGCACAAATTTGATCACATTTCTAATGAGAGTGTCCCACCGGAAAATAGATCAGTTGTACACTAAAGGCGTACCATAGCAATCCCCTCTGCAAAGTGAATCCCAAAGGAGCCCTAACTTTCGGAAACTTCGGTATGAAAGGGATCATGTAGGCGCTTCTACCAGCTGCCCGTATTGGTACCCTAAACTCCCAGGTACATCCTACATAACGGATACGTCAAAAGGGCCCACACTTAGAGATACAAACTTCCCCAACAAAGAACAAGAAAGTCATGAACCGAGCATTTTTGGATGTCTGAGAGAAGTGCTCAGGTGCTCCTGGATGCTGAGAACCGGGCCCTGGACGAGCAAACGGCTTCCCAGCTGATGGCAGTCGTACCCCACCCCCACATGATGAAAGAATAGCAGAAATTTCGGTTTGGAAGGTTCAGGGTTTAGGGAGTTGAGGGTTTTAAGGATGGGCACAAGACGTGCTCACCATAAGTCACGCTCCTCATGGAGCGATGGCAGTCCAGAGGTGTGAGATGCCTTCCTCCACAAATCTCGAGCTCAGAGCTGCAAAGGTTACCGTCGCCTTGCTGGACCAGCTGGAGCGCGGTGAGGAGATAGATGCTCGGATGCGGCCGAGTTGGGAAGCTCTCTTTGCCTTTGCTCAGGTTCTGAACAAACAGAGTATAACTAGGTCGCCGGTTACAGCGCGGGCTCCTACTTCGCAGCTCCCACAATGACCAGCATGTGGCCCTTGGCCCAGAGCCAAAGCAAAACCTCCTAAAATCTTTAACCCTGCGTTTAGGCACGCGGGCGCAAAAAATGACCACCCCCGAAGCACGTGGACGACGAGGCCAATGCAGCGCAGGAAACCAAGGCAGGCGCAGGTAAATCACATCGTGTGCGACAAAACCCCGCAGCCGAATCCAGGAAGCCCAATCTGGTCACGATTCTGTGACCACATACTGGGGGGCAACTATGTGGACCCTAAACCCTAAACCCTAAACTCTAAACCCTAAATTCTACATCCTATGTGGACTCCAAGTGCCATCTCATGACCAAGTCGGCTGCTTCCCATCTGTCGTCTTGATCCCATGGTGCCCTGGGGCGTCATGTACGTGCTGCTTGTTGGTAGCGTGGACCTAGTCATAGTGTGGGCATGGTTGCTCTACATGGACCTAATCATCCTGTGGGCATGGATGCGCTAGTCATTCGCATGCACTGGCAACACGGAGGTACCCGCGAGCAGGAAAGCAACGATGTGCACCAGAGTGAGCGAGGGTGTTCGTTTGGCCTGCAAGCCTTGGTTTAGGGTACAGCCCCACCCCAAGTCCTAAAAAACACTAAGCCAGAGGTTTAGGTTGCAGCCCTACCCCCATATCCTAAACAAGAACAAAATCCTAAACGCCAAACCCCAAACCCCAAAGCGCCAAACCCTAAACCCCAAACCCTGAACCCCAAACTCCTAAACCCCAAAGTCCTAAACCCTAGATCCCAAAGTCCTAAACCCTAAACCCCAAACCCTAAACCCTAAACCCTAAGCCCTAAGCCCCAAACCCTAAACCCTAAACCCTAAACCCGAAACCCTAAACCCTAAACCCTAAGGCAACAATCCCAAACCCAAGGACTTCCCCGGGCACCTCGTCAAGCCAGAAGCCGCCGTGGCTCTCGGATTCGCCCGCGCAGGCTCCCCTGGCAAAGGCACCCTTGGTGTTCTTTTGGGGGTTCAGAGTTTAGGGTTTAGGGTTAGGGTTTAGGGTTTGGGGTTTAGGGTCTGGGGTTTAATGCTGAGGGGGGGTGGTGGAGCAGAACAAGCCGCAAGATGCACGAAACCCCAGGAACTTCTACCGCCTTAGTATTTCAAGCGATGCCGAAATGCTTCATCTACAGGATCATGTCTGCCGACCTCAGCACAAAGGTTGCTTTGGATCAGGGCAGGGGGCCAACAGTCCGAGCTTTCCAAGCTAAAAGAATCCTCAGCCTCAAATCAGCAACCCTGTGCCCTAAAGCCTAAAACCCCAAAGCAAGCCCCAAATCTCAAGCCCCGAAGGTATGTATATGGGGGTTTCCAAACATAGCGGCACCCCTTACGTACCCCAAACACCCCAAAAACCCTAAACCCTAAACCCCTCAGAAAGGAACCCCTAAACCCTAAACCCTAACCCTAAACCCTCAACCCTAAACCCTAAACCCCAAAAAATGGGGCGTACCCCTATTTTCGGAAACCCCCCCCCCCCCCCCATGTGTCGGTGTATCAGCATGTAGCGGCGCCATCAGCCAAAACCCCATCTCTGGGGTCCACGGCATCCTTCCAACCCGTCTGTGGCTGTTTGGGTTTAGGGTTTAGGGTTTAGGGTTTGGAGAAACCCTAAAAGCTCTAAACCCCAAGCCTAAGCCCTAAACCCTAAACCCTAAATCCCAAACCCCAAACCCTAAACCCTAAACCCAAAGCCCTAAGCCCCAAACTTTAAGAACTCAACAACTCGCATCAGCTGCGCCGGCACTGACACCGCCCCCCCGCACGCCATCACCTCGAGCCCAGCGTCTTCGCCAGCCGCCGGGGTGCCCGGAAGCTCTGTGCTTGGGGTTTAGGGTTCAGGGTTCAGGGTTCAGAGGTTTAGGCTTCAGGGTTTGAGTGGTTTAGGGTTTAGAGTATTCCGTTTCTGTGAGAGAAGCAGCCCCTGTGCTGCCAAAGATACAAAGGCACCCTGCTTGCCCAACCGCTCTGATCCGGCAACGCAGTATGCTCAAAACCTAGTTTGCTCAGGTCATGCAAAAATTGTTGAAGCCCACAAGAGCACGCTCCTTCTATGCTTGTCAGGTCACGATGAAGAAAAGGTATTGCATGTAATCTTGAAATGCCTTTCTTGAGTGTGGTAAGAGTTTTCTTGTAAACACGAATAGTTTGTCGGGCTCTGAGGCATGCGGAGCAAGGAAGTCTACCAGGTGTCACAGGGGCAAACTCCCTGCATACATGATGCAACCAATTATCAGCACCCCGTCAGGTCAGAATCCCTAAATCCTAAACCCTAAACCCTAAACCCTAAACGACTACCTGCAGCTTAGCCTCCGGGTGTGTCTGCACGTAAGAGCTAATGGCCACCAATACCCAAGCGGCGGGAAAGCGCTGCCGTGCGGCAAACGAAGACACAACCCCAGAAGTTTAGGGTTTAGGGTCTAGGGTTTAGGGTCCCTACACCCCAAACCCTAAACCCCAAACCCCAAACCCTAAACCGTAAACCCTAGACCCTAAACCCTAAGCCCTAAACCTTGCGGTGAAGCAGGTTGTATAGTTTTCCTCGTAGTGGATGCTCACAGATGAGCCGATGTCATTCCGAATTCCCATCCTCGAAGACCACAGAACCCGGGATGCAGAGTTGGGTTTAGGGTTTAGGGTTTAGGGCTTAGGGCTTAGGGTTTAGGGTTTAGCAGTAAACGTGTGCTGGTGCGTGGGTCTACCTCCTGAGCCTTGACAGGTTAAGGGTTTAGGGTTAAGGGTTAAGGGTTTGCCTGTTCTTCTTGCCAGCATTACTATGGTGGCTTTCATGGTCATTCATATACCTGTGGTTATGAACTTGAATGCTATTGGCACTCGCATTGTAGTGGCCCAAACCCATAAAGCCTAGCCTCGTAACCCCACGCCCTTCCACCCAAAACCCAGAACCCTTCCACCCTAAATCCTTCCACCCTAAACCCTTCCAGCCTAAACCCTGAACCCTAAACCCTGAACCCGAAACCCTTCACCCTACACCCTAAACGCTTAAGCCTAATCCCTAACTCCTGCCACCCTAAACCCTTAACCATTAACCCTTACACCCTAAGCCCTACACCCTTAACCCTTACCTTTATAAACCCTAAACCCTAAACCCTAAACCCTAAACCCTAAACCCTAAACCCTAAACCCTAAACCCTAAACCCTAAACCCTGAACCCTAAACCCTAAACTCGATGGTGCCGATGGCTCTGCGAGGTTCAAGCGGCCCCGAACGGCGACCCCGGACAGCTTAGGGGTTTGGGGTTTAGGGTTTAGGGTTGTTTTTGGTTTTGGGTTTCGGGTTTCGGGTTTAGGGTTTGGGGTTGAGGGTTTAGGGTTTAGGGCTATTTAGGGGCATTTGGGGTATTTAGGGTATTTAGGGTATTTAGGTTGTTTGGGGTGTTCGGGCATTTAGGGCGTTAGGGTATTTAGGGTATTTGGGGCATTTAGGGTATTTAGGGTATTTAGGGTAGTTAGGGTATTTAGGGTATGTAGGGTATTTGGGGTATTTAGGGTATTTAGGGTTTGGTGTGTAGGGCTTTGGGGTTCAGGGTTCAGGGCTTCGGGTTTGGGGTCTTGGGTTGGGGTTGAGGGTTTTGGGGTTTAGGGTTTGGGGCTTGGGGTTTAGAGTTTGGGGTTCAGGGTTTGGGGTCTTGGTAGGGTTTGGCGTTTTGGGCTGGGGTTTGGGGTTGAGGGTTTGGGGTTTAGGGTTTAGGATGTGGGGTTTAGGGTTTTGGGGTTTACGGGTTTGGGGTTTAGGGTTTTGGGTTTAAGGCTTTGGGGTTTAGGCCTCAGAGTTTAGGGTTTGCTGTGGGTTTGGGGTTGAGGGTTTAGGGTTTGGGGTTCAAGGTTAGGGTTCAGGGCTTTGGGGTTTAGGGGTTGAGGTTTAGGATTTGGGGTTCAAGGATTACGCAGGGTTCAGGGTTTGTGGGGTTTTGGGTTTTAGCGTTTAAGTTTAGGGTTTTAGAGCTTGGAGAAATGGCTTAGGGTTAGGGGAGGGGTCCCAGGTTCAGGGTTTTCGGGGTTTGTGGTTCGGTTTTTTGGTGTTGAGGTTTTATGGATTTCCGGCGCGGGGCGCAGGAATTTCAACATTGGGTTTGGGGTTCTGGGTTCGGGGTTTCGGGTTTAGGGTTTAGGGCTTAGGGTTGGCAGGAGGTGCTGCTCTTGATTTAAGGTTCTCTACCTTAGCATAGTTGGGGGGGGGTCTCAGCTGGCCTGAGCTTGAGTGAGCTGTTCGAAGATTTGGATTGCAGGTGTGGGTGTGGGATGGTGGGTGTTGATGAAAGACCCTACGCCTTAAACCCTACGCCTTACACCCTTCACCTTAAACCGCAAACCCCAAACCCCAAACCCTAAACCCTAAACCCTAAACCCTAAACCCTAAACCCTAAACCCTAAACCCCAAACCCCAAACCCCAAACCCTAAACAAAAGATCGCAGGATCCCCCGCCGCCGGTGTGCGCCCCGTCGCCATCTCCTGCGCGCGCGTCGAGACTAGGCAGGGTAGCACCCCCCAGCTTTGGCTTCGCGTGGTCGGATTTAGGGTTTAGGGTTTAGGGTGTGTAGGGTTTATAGGGTTTAGGGTTCAGCATCTCAAGTCCAAGCATTCACTAGTCAAGAAATTACTCCAGAAAAATACCCACCCGGCCAAAGAATCCCACAACATTAAAGACATGTTTCGCTTATGGAACGACCCTTGCCCAGTAAAATGACCTTGCCCAGTAAAAACATGACCTTGCCCAGTAAACAAATGACCTTGCCCAGTAATGACCTTGCCCAGGAAAAAAGACCTTGCCCAGTAAAACAATGACCTTGCCCAGTAAAAAGATGACCTTGCCCAGTAAAAAAATGACCTTGCCCAGTAAAAAAATGACCTTGCCCAGTAATAAAATGACCTTGCCCAGTAAAAAAAGACCTTGCCCAGAATAAAATGACCTTGCCCAGTAAAAAAAATGACCTTGCCCAGTAATGACCTTGCCCAGTAAAAAAATACCTTGCCCAGAAAAAATGACCTTGCCCAGCAAAAAATGACCTTGCCCAGCAAAAAATGACCTTGCCCAGAAAAAAATGACCTTGCCCAGTAAAAAATGACCTTGCCCAGTAAAAAGATGACCTTGCCCAGTAACATTTTTACTGGGCAAGGTCGCTTTTTACTGGGCAAGGTCCTTTTTTTACTGGGCAAGGTCGTTTTTTTTGGACCGAACGACCTTGCCCAGTAAAGAAATAACCTTGCCCAGTAACAAAAATGACGTTGCCGAGTAAGAAAATGACCTTGCCCAGTAAAAAAGCAACCTTGCCCAGTAACTCATTAACATTTAAATTATAGATGAAAGAGAGGTTTAAGGTTTAGGGTTTAGGGCTAGCAGCTCCCGAGCACCAGGACCCGCAACGGCGAGGGCTCCAACAGCCCGCAGCAGCCTCGACCTCTGGGAGGGCGCCATGGAGGCGGGATTCAGGACTTCCCAACATTAGGTTCAGGGTTTCGGGTTGAAGGTTTAGGGTTTCGGGTTGAATGTTGAGGGTTTAGGGGGTTTAACCAGTGTGGCGATAAAGGGCACCCTGCTAAAGTCGGGGCACAGAGGCAGGTTCCCTGGTATACCTCAATCCTGACCTTTGAACCCTCCAAGGCCCGAAAGCCTACGACCTTAAGCTCTAAACCCCAAAGCCCCGAAACCATGAACCCTGAACCCGTCAACAACATATCCTAAACCCTAAACCCTGAACCCTAAACCCTAAACCCTAAACCCTAAACCCGAAAGCCCGCAGGCCGAGAAGCTTTTAGGCGGCCCCCCGATGTTTGGGGTTTTAGGGGTTCGCAAATTTGTTGTTGGGCTTACAGTTTTGGGGTTTGAGGGATGAGGGCACCTTCTGTGTTAGTTGTTTGGGGCTTTGGGGGGTCTATGGTGTTAGGTCTGTTCCCGGTCTCATGCGCTGCGAAGATGGGAACCCCAATGCTTTAGGCAGGGTAGATTCCTCGTCCTTGCGGGGTTCCGAAGGGCCCAAACGTAAATAGGGGATCCGAAGTATGGGCCCTTAATTTGGGTCCCTTGTTACATTACTTATATATATATATATATATATATTCATATATATATATATATGTATAAATTCAGGGCCCCTACTTCAGATCCCTATAAACAAGGGTAAGGGACCACGCTAGGGGCCCATGGCTCCAACCTTAGAGTAAAGCAGCCCGCGTTTGGGATTTTGGGGTACGTGGTCAGGAGGAAGTCGAAGACAGGCCCATGCAGACGCGCGATCTATGGGAGGCCTGGTGAGAGCTTTCTTGGGTATGGGGTTCAGGGTTCAGGGTTTAGGGTTTAGGGTTTAGGGTTTAGCGTTAGGGTTTAGGGTTTAGGGTTTAGGGTTTAGGGTTTAGGGTTTAGTAGGGTTTCGGGATGTCAATGGCCCAGCCGAGGCCCAGCAACCCTGTCGTGTCGATGTCGAGAAGTCAAGCCACACTGCCCAGAAGCCTTGAAGCCTGACCTTGTATGGAGGTTTACCGGAATAAGGGACCCGAATATAGACCCCCAAATGCATCTCCTTTTAATAAGGACACCAATAAGCCTCAATTCACTCTGAGCAGCGATGTTCGCGCAAAAGGTGATTCCGGATTCATGATTTCTTGGATTTGTCATGTTCCTTTGCCCAGCTTCATGCCACGTATCATGCCTGTGCGCAATGCTATGCTCATCGGATCGAGGTGATACATGGGGGATTCTCTAAATTGGGGTCCCTCTTGTGATGCCGATTATATGGCGGCCCCGAATATTTAGGGTATCCCAAGAAGGGACCATAATTTTGAGAAATGACCCCATGTATCTGTGCACCCCCGCCTGCTTGCTTGCGTCGGAATGTGGCTTTCTTGTTGTTACTTTCCGATGCAGAGACGCAGAGGTTCGAACTCAGGGACCCGAATCACCAACATTCTGAACCCTGTGAGGGAGCCACCATCAGATCATCACTCATCCCGGAAACCCCAAACCCCAAAACCCCCAAACCCCAAGACCCAAGACCCTAAACCCAAAACCCCAAACCTCAAACCCCAAACCCGAAACCCTTTCCCCCTAAACCCGAAACCCTAAACCCTAAACCCTAAACCCTAAACCCCAAACCCTAAACCCTAACCCTCAACCCCCCCCGAAACCGCCAAAAGGGCGCCGAGCGGGACCTGCAATCCGAGCTGCGGCGTGAGAGCTTCCGGGCCCGGCCTTTGCCATGCAGGGTTCAGGTTTGGGGTTTGGGGTTTAGGGTTGAAGGGGCTATTTCTGCCGAAGCGTGCCGAGTCAGGTTTTCTTTCCTGTTGAAAACCAGGACGCTGGATGCCTGCATGCGCAGCTGTGATCCGTCCCGGCAGCATTTCGGCGCAGCCTCCCTGCTTTTAGATGCCCGCCTACTCGTAGATGGGATGCCTCCCCGCTGGTGAGGTGGGTTTCTCTGAGATAGGGAAATTGCGTGTCCTACGCCCACTGCTGGCCGCCCCAAGGGATGGGAAAACGCAGTGGGCTCCAGCGACGCAGATTTTTCATGCCTTCCTCGGGATCTTCGTCTCCAGCCAGGCTGTTCAGAAACAAGTGGCGTGGCCATCGGTTGAAGCTTTGCAAGAGCATTAAAGCAATGCTGGAGCAGGCGACGGCAAGAAATACGGGTGCCCTCAACCTTGACACAAGCCGTGGGTTTGCATCTGTGGGTTTTGCTGCGTTTATATCAAGCTTCTTGACAACGTCTGCGCTTCCACTTGCTGTGACTGCACGTGATGTTTTGGTTGGATCAGCCTCGACAGTGTTTCCGCGGCGTGACCTTTTTCCTTTGCCACGCATCTCCACTTGGCCTGCGCAAGTTGACACAGGCATGCAGTCTGATGGTGGTCTTCTGGTGCTGGCAAACACATGCGTGGCTGCTTTAAACCATCTGGAGCAAGGCATGCCCAAGTCAGCCACGACCTGTTCCAGGAACACGTGCACGACAGCGAAGCTTTCTGTCCAGTTGCATGTGTGTGGGCGCGTTGCGCGGTTCTGCGACCGCCTCAATGACATGCTGGGTGAGAACTTTGACTACATAGGGGCTTTTCAGAAGTACGAGAAGACAGCTACTGGCTCATCCTACGAGCAGCTGCGTGGAGACGACGTGGATTTGCCAAAGAAAGCAGCAACTTGCGACCCTTCCACCTTGGTGGATCCAGGTTTGTGGCAAGAAGTATGCCGTGGTGGGACTGTCTTTCCGGAAAACGCAGGCGGTCACAACCATTGCCCGCTCAGCACCTTGGGGTCGGCTAGAGGCGAGTACATCAAGTTGACGTGTCGTGAACTTCGATGTGGCAAGCTGCGCCTCAGGCTGCAGGCCTGCGGCTCAGCGAAGGTGTTCACTGCGCCCAAAAGCACCCCAGGGCACCAGCGGAAGATTTGGGACGGTTCGTTGATCTCTACGTGGGCTGCAACACCTCCCAAGCCACACCGGCTTGCCAACCCGAGCGCTTTTCTGGATATCCGAGTTCAGCCTGGCGAGGCGCTTTACCTGTCCAAGCGGGATGCCTCCACTTTCCTTGATGTGCTTGCGGTCCCGCCGGTGCTCCAGCCATGGCTAGGCCAAGAGCCCATTACACTAGCTGAACTGGTCCAGTATGGGGGATTCACTGCGAAGGAAGTCGTGGCTTTCGTGGACGATTTGCAACAAGACAGCGAACTCACCATGGCACTTTCTTCGGACAGCCTTCTCTTCCCGGTCCACAGCGTATGGCCCATGGGTTTCAGCTGGTCTTCGTGCATTGCTCAGTCTACCACGTTGGGAGTGCTCAAGCAGGCGGGTGTCCACAGCAGCCAAATTCTCAGCCTGGAGCATGACCTCCCAGCCTCGCAGCGAGAGCTCTGCGCAGTGGCCACCGACGACACGCTGTTCTTCCATCGCAGCTTTCGGCACGGCAGGCGAACTTTGCAGAAAGTTGACAAGGTGTTTGAACAACATGGCATACCCCGGAACAGAGCCAAAGATGTTTCTTTGGCCAGCAAGATGACAGGCCTCGGTTGCGACATATCCAGCAGACCTGCTCTTGTCGAACCCGCGAAGGACAAGATCTCACAAGCTGTTCTGGGTTTGTGTGATGTACTGGAACGAGGAACAAGCAGCCCAGCTGGCATGAGTGCCATCTTGGGTGTCTTGCAATGGTTCTGTCTGTTGCAAAGGGGCATGTTCAGCATCTTCGACAAGGTGTATGGCTTCATCGTGCAAGAACCCCGCGCGGTACAGCAACCCTTGCCTGCGAGTGTGCTGGACGAGCTATTCACCTGGCTTGCAGTGGCGCCGCTACTACCGGCTAGCTTGGAGCGCCAGTATTTGTCTGACCTCCTGGCTTGCGATGCTGCTCCTGAGTTCGGCTTCGGCGTCAGCGCGTTGTCCTGCGGGCCAAAGCAAGTGGAGTCAATCGGCCGCTTATCCGAGCGCAGAGGAGACTACGTCAGGCTGCTTGTTGATGACAACGATGAGCCGGAGCAGCCGCGTCTCGGTACTGCGCACAGATTGCCAGTCAAGAAGTCTGCTTTCAGAACGCTCATCTCGAAAAGATTAAGGTGGCGGCGCACTCAGGCTTGCTGGAGTGTCACGGGGTCCTGCTCACGTTGAAATGGATCTGCCGCAGCAAGTCACGACATCACCGCAGAGCAGTGGTGCTGGTTGATGCTAAGACGGCGCTGGGTTGCATTTCCAAAGGCAGGAGCTCGGCGCGTGCGCTGAGGCGAGTCCTGCAGAGCACGGCAGCCCATGGCCTAGCTGCAGACATTTTGCTTCGACTCGTTTACGTGCCCTCCGAATCAAACCCAGCGGATGCGCCGTCCAGAGGTCGCGCGTCAAATCCCAAAAGGAAGGCCTGATGATGATTGCTGATCCGGTGCATGCTAAAGGTCACTGACGCCCGCTGCTGCATTACCGGGCTCTATGCAAGCGGAGTATGCTTCTGCGTGTTTTCCGTGTTTGACTTGCTTTGGACGGAGCTTGGAGCTGTAGTGCAGTAGTGCCGGGCCTGCGATCTGCGTCCATTCGCAGCCTTGATTTCTGTCAAGATCGGTCTTTGTTTCTGCAGCGCTGATTGAGAGCGCTACTTTTTGCCATCGGCCGCTCATGAGATTCACGGCCAGTGCGGGGTAGTGGGTCTTTTGAATATCCTCAAGCTGAAGGCTTGGGGTGCTCACTTCTTCGAACGAATCTCCAACCAGCAGTGGCCCGAATTCAAAACAAGCCCGTCACTGGAGTGCCCATACGTCGGCAAGTGCAGGCAAGCTGCACGGCAGCAATTAGGGTTTAGGGTTTAAGGTTTAGGGTTTGGGGTTTAGGGTTTAGGGCTAAGGGTTCGGGGTTTACGTTTCAGGGTTTAGGGCTAAGGGTTTACTGTTTCGGGTTGGGGTGTAAGGGTTAAGGGTTTAGGGTTTAAGGGTCAAGCAAGGGCTTAAGGGTTTCAGGGTTTGAGGTTCTAAGGATTGAAGGGTTTAAGGGTTGAAGGGCTCCCAAAGCCCTACACTCTACATCTAAAGCAATTCGGCCCTCAACCGCCCAATGTGCTCAGAACATCTCAAAAAGCAACCCTAAACCCTTAACCCTAGCCCTAAACCCTAAACCCTAAACCCCAAAACCTAAACCCTAAACCCTAAACCCCAAACCCTAAACCCTAAACCCTAAACCCTAAACCCTAAACCCTAAACCCTAAACCCTAAACCCTAAACCCTAAACCCTAAACCCCCAAAAAGAGTTGGGGGTTTAGGGCGCCAGGACAGCCCGACTGCGAGCTCCCGGTCTCAGCCCGTCCCTACGCCCTGTCGTTCGAACGTCAGCCCGGGCAGCCAAGAAGGGCGCCACCTGGCGGGTTTTCGACTGGGGTTTCGGGTTTAGGGGTTTAGGGGTTTTAGGGTTTCAGGGTGTAGCCCTAAACCCTGAGCCCTCAACACTAAACTTAAATTTCAAACCCTCAAACCCTAAACCCTAAACACTCCGAATTTGCCTCCTCTACCCTGATCCGCACTCCTGACCCCGTGAGGATCGTGGCGAGTTATAGGGTTTAGGGTTTTCGGGTCTCGGGTTTACTGGAGGGTTTGGGGTTCCTTTTGGAAACACTGATGAGTGTCTGTGTCGGGTGTCCTTTTGGGACACAAGGAATATAAACCCCACTTCTCATACCGAGGAGTACACCCCAGCCAAATATCCCTGATTTCCTGACATTCCTCAAGTTGCAGTTGAGGATTTACCGGAAGACTCCTTTCTCACGTTCAGGGCGAATAGGCTAGCTTCTGAGACCCCAAAGCCCCAAAGCCAACAAGCCTCAACCCGAGGCTCAGGCTTCAGACCAAGTCCTGCGGCGCTGGCAGAGCCGCTGGGAGGGCGTTGTCATGGGTTCCCCTACTACCCCCCTCTTTACTACCCCTAGGTTCCCCCTTACACAACTTTAATCAGGTGTGAATCTCCCGAAAAAACCCCGTATGTTATGGGCTAACCTAGGGGGGGTGGTGTAGAGGGGGGCAGCCTTGGAAACACAGGGTTTAAGGTTGAGGGTCTGTGGCTTCTTGGTGTTTTTTGCGAGTATTTCGGGTGGCTCTATGGGATGTCTGTACGCGACAAACGGATGTGCCTTCGGAAAAAGGGGGGCGCGTAACTTGTCTTCAATCCTTAAGCCCGAAGCCCTGAACCCTGAACCCTACACCCTGAACCCCTCTACTCTAAGCCTTGAAGGTTTAGGGCTTGGTAAGAATGCCTTGGCATGTTCCCCCTTACACTACCAGTCCTTAAGGGGGATTATAATCGGGGTACTAAAATCCCTATGAAGGACGGTTAGTACAAGGGGGGACATCCCACCCTTAGCAATAAGCCCTAAGCCCCAAACCCAAAGCCCTAAACCCTAAACCCTAAACCCTAAACCTTAAACCCTAAACCCTAAACCCTAAACCCTACACGCAAAGAATACCTCAAACAAAAAGATCGAAGCACAGGTTGCCCATGTCCCCCTTGGGTGTGGTGGGCGCCTTTTCCACATCGTAAGTGCCGCTGTGCGCCGACAGACCAGAAGCCCCGAACCCCAAACCCCAAGTCCCAAACCCTAACCCTAAACCCCAAACCCCAAACCAAAAAAAACAAAACCCTAAACCCTACACCCTAAACCCTAGCTACAAACAACGGCAGTCCCGTACCAACTTTACTCCGCTTCTTTGAGGCCGGCGCCGTCGGCCATCTTTGTCGCAGAGCAGGCCGCTCTGAGAACTTGCTTTGCAGAAAATCTCAATGCGTCCGCATGAAACTCCAAAAACATGCTCATGACGCTTGCTGATTGCCGACCTCCCAGCCCTGTTGTAAACCGCCGAGCCCGGTCGAAACCCCACAAGGAGCCTCCGGCGCCCCGATTGGTGAGAGAGGAAGGGTCTTGCGTCGGCTTGCCGAAGCATGTGGGTCCCTCTGCCAGCATGGTGTTCGCACCACCGCCTGGTGCAGCTTCGGACGAAGCACCGCAGGTGGGGGGTTTGGCTAAAGGTTTGGGGAAGTTGGGAAGGCTTCGCTTGTACGTTCCAAGAACAACACGAAAGCACCACGAACGCCAACCGATTGTGGCCAGCGTGACACAAAGGTTGGACATGAAGGTGGCTAGCCTTGCCGATCTGCTACAATCCTGGTCATAAGTAACATGTCAGTGAGTGCACTCTAAACATCTTTAAACTGGCAAGCCCGGTCGAAACCCCTCAAGGAGCCTGCGGCGCCCCGATTGGTGAGAGAGGAAGGGCCTTGCGTCGGCTTGCCGAAGCATGTGGGTCCCTCTGCCAGCATGGTGTTCGCACCACCGCCTAGTGCAGCTTCGGACGAAGCACCGCAGGTGGGGGGTTTGGCCAAAGGTTTGGGGAAGTTGGGAAGGGAAGTTGGGAAGGCTTCGCTTGTACGTTCCAAGAACAACACGAAAGCACCACGAACGCCAACCGATTGTGGCCAGCGTGAAACAAAGGTTGGACATGAAGGTGGCTAGCCTTGCCGATCTGCTACCTGGTCGTAAGTAACATTTCCGTAAGTGCACTCTAAACATCTTTAAACTGGCAAGCCCGGTCGAAACCCCTCAAGGAGCCTGCGGCGCCCCGATTGGTGAGAGAGGAAGGGCCTTGCGTCGGCTTGCTGAAGCATGTGGGTCCCTCTGCCAGCATGGTGTTCGCACCACCGCCTAGTGCAGCTTCGGACGAAGCACCGCAGGTGGGGGGTTTGGCTAAAGGTTTGGGGAAGTTGGGAAGGGAAGTTGGGAAGGCTTCGCTTGTACGTTCCAAGAACAACACGAAAGCACCACGAACGACAACCGATTGTGGCCAGCGTGAAACAAAGGTTGGACATGAAGGTGGCTAGCCTTGCCGATCTGCTACAATCCTGGTCGTAAGTAACATGTCAATGAGTGCACTCTAAACATCTTTAAACTGGCAAGCCCGGTCGAAACCCCTCAAGGAGCCTGCGGCGCCCCGATTGGTGAGAGAGGAAGGGCCTTGCGTCGGCTTGCCAAAGCATGTGGGTCCCTCTGCCAGCATGGTGTTCGCACCACCGCCTAGTGCAGCTTCGGACGAAGCACCGCAGGTGGGAGGTTTGGCTAAAGGTTTGGGGAAGTTGGGAAGGCTTCGCTTGTACGTTCCAAGAACAACACGAAAGCACCACGAACGCCAACCGATTGTGGCCAGCGTGAAACAAAGGTTGGACATGAAGGTGGCTAGCCTTGCCGATCTGCTACAATCCTGGTCGTAAGTAACATGTCAGTGAGTGCACTCTAAACATCTTGAAACTGGCAAGCCCGGTCGAAACCCCTCAAGGAGCCTGCGGCGCCCCGATTGGTGAGAGAGGACGGGGCTTGCGTCGGCTTGCCGCAGCAGGTGGGGGTTCCGGTGAAAGTTTGGACTAGGGTCTAACAACCCTAAACTCTGAACCCCAAACCCCTGAAACCTTGAAAAACCTGGCCTTCGAGGCCTGTGTTAGCCCACAGCGGTCAACGGGAGAGCCCGAGGAAAGCTGCTTGGAGGACCAGTGTAGGGTTGAGGGTAGGGTCAGGGAGATTGAGGAGAAGTAGCCCAAATCCCTATAAACCATGTACTTAATCTGAGCCCAGCGCAAGACATTCATGTAACAAGCCCTTAACTTCCTGTGGGTGACAGAGCTTAGGCATCTAAGGGGTTTCGGGTTTGGGGCCCCCCCCGAGCTCCAGGTTCGGGGACTACCGTTTCGAGTTGTACACGTCATTGATAGCTTACTATTGGGATGTAACAGTCCTTAGTAGGGATTCCCTATGAAGGACTGTTCGTATAAGGGGGAACATCCCAACCCACGTAGAACTACTTATATGGGCTTTCCCAAGTAGGATCCCGACGGGTCGGGCGACGCCCAAGAAGATGCCGACGCCGAGCAGGGCGACGAGGCAGAGACTTTCGACCCGCAACCCCCTTGCAAAGCCCCAATGCTGAAGAGATACAAGTTAGGGTTTCGGGATGTTTCGGGTGTAGAATCGGTTGACGTGAATGTGGTTCACAAAGCCCCAAAGATTATGGGAGGTGTCTCAGGACGACCTGCCGATTCTCGAGGTCGTGGGGAAGGCCAAGAACCCCAGCCCCGAAGCCAAAGCCCGCTCGACA